TGTCTCTTTTACAGCTTTGAAACACTCTTCTGTTCCCCCCTNCTTGACATAAACCAATTTGTTATCATATAGAAGATAATTTAAGGCAGATGAGGTGAGACAAATTCTCACGGCGAAAGTTGCGTTTTCAAAACAGACTTATTCTAAGATGTGAATGATTGGAAAGATCAGCCTAAATTGCCGGATCAACCGGTCCCCTATGAATGCGACCCAATGAAAAGCTGGGTATGGTGCGTTTGCCGCTCACATCTTGTCAGTGTTTACCTCCATTGCAAAATTCCAGGAGATTCAAAAAAATAATAAATTAACCTTAACAGATGATTTATGGGACGAAGGGTACATTCGGGGTCAAAATTCGTCAATTGCCTCTTTAGTTTGAATTTTCTCCTAATTAGATTTTATGCGTCCCCTGACTTATTTCATGTGTTGCAGGAAAGAATGATTTGGATGAAAAAATGCATTCAGTTGGAACAGTTAATATTAAAACATTTTATTAAATTTTATGATTCATTGAAAACAAATACATATATATATCAATGTTAACTTAAATGAAATCGATATTAGCCTATTGTGCGCGATAGACTTAACTCCACGTGGTGCACCCTGGGCAACGTATACTCATACGGCAAAAAAGTCTATTAACCGACAGTTCACTTCTGACTTCAAACTACCAAGACCCGACTGTATGTCATATTCGACTACTTCCACAGTACTCACATTATCTTTTCTCTAATTGTGTCTGTCTCTTTTACAGCTTTGAAACACTCTTCTGTTCCCCCCTCCCCCTTCTTGACATTTTGTCACTTTGATGTTCCTCCTCCCCTCTGTGAAGCCCGAAGTCAACTAAGGGTATAATGATAACTACCAAAACACCTGCCATTTGATATAAATCAATCATAAGGACTGACTTAAGTTCTATTAGCGGTTACAATCCCAAATATGCCTGTATTCCCAAATGCATCGGATTTTGGCGAAGAGTCCATCAGTCTAGCCAGCACATTCCACACGCACACACACACACAAACCCGCGCGCGTCTGAACAACCCAAACGCCAAAAGAAGAAGGCAATTCATTTTAGGCAATTTATGTAAAAACTAGTCATTCACAAGACATATTATCACTTGTATGGCGCAGTGGTAAGGATGGGAGATTTTTTGAAAAGAAAGGAGAGGGGG